CGTTGCTAAAGCTGGAGCGTAAGCGAGCATACTACTACTACTACTACTACTACTACTACTACTACTACTACTACTACTACTACTACTACTACTACTACTACTACTACTACTACTACTACTACTACTACTACTACTACTACTACTACTACTACGACTACGACTACGACTACGACTACGACTACGACTGCGACTACGACTACGACTACGACTACGACGACTACTACTACTACTACTACTACTACTACTACTACTACTACTACTACTACTACGGGATGTGCTGGAACCTGGAGGCTCTCTTGGGAGCTGCTTGGCAACTGTCGGAGTCTGCTGGTGGCTCTAAAGCACATCGGAGTAGTCCTTCTTGAACAGATCTTGGAACCCTCTTGGATCATTTTGGGGCCTTCTTGGGCCGTCTGGGGTTCTCTTGGGCCGTCTTGGGGCCATGGGGGTCTGAGGCCATCTGGGATTTCAATTTGGGCCCTCTTGGGCAGCTCCCGCGGCCCGCTTGGGGCTGTCTCGGGGGGGGGGGGGGGGGGCACTTGCTCTCCAGGGCCTGTTCTGGGCCGTCTTGGGGCCCTCTGGGGCCGCCTTAGTGGACTCGTCAGGGTCGCCTTGGGCCATCTTGCACCTGGAGCTGCGTGCTGCGTGGGGACGGTCTGGGCCCGTCATGGGGAGGGTGCAAAAAACCTTGGAACAGGGCTCGAGCTAAACAGTGTTTTCCGTTTTCGTTTTGTTTTCGTCATCCCTAGTTCTGTCTTCGTTCCACATGTGCTACAAGACGAAGTCAAAACGAAAACGGTCCACGAAATTGCCAGAACACCGTTTCGCTCGAGCCCTGCCTCGGAATGCACGTGGCTTCGGCTTGGCCTGTCGCCTCGTGGGGCCGCCCTCGGGGTCCTCGTGGGCCGCCTGTGGAGCCCCCTTGCGAGTCTCCAGGCCCTCTCGGGCAGCCATATAGAGTTCGCTCAGGGTCCTCTGCGCCGTCCTGCCGCCCTCCTGAGAGCGTCAGCGCTGCCCTGGGCTGGAGGCCTGGAAACGGGCACCAACACCAACATAGGGGGCTGCCTCCACAGGGGTAAGATGATCCCAGATTTCGGTGTTAGTGGTCATATGTCGGTCCCCTTGGAAGCCAGAATATTACCACCATCACCGAGATTGGGATCATCTTCCCTTGGTTGAGGCACACCGCTGATATTGGTGTTGGTGTCAACCTCTAGGCCTCCGACTGGGGCCGTCCGGAGCCTGTCTGGGGGATATCGGGGGACCTGCTGGAGCCGGCGTGGGGCGCCCGGAGGCGCGCGAGGGTCGCGCGCTGCTCGCCCCTTTTGGCGGCGCCTCGCCCCAGAAAGTGTAGAACAAATGATGTTGGACTCCAGCTTCGCAGCCCGAATCTCGCATAGGAGCGTCAGAGCCCGCTGCCACTGCTCGACCTTCTCGCACGCGCTGATCCCAGCGCTGTAGCTGACCACAGTTGGCTCCAGCTTCGTCTCGCACATCTCCCTGAGCAGCGCCAGCGCCCGCTGCCACTGCTGGCCCCTCTCGCACGCGCTGATCCCAGCATTGTGGCTGACTAGTGTGTACTACTCGTGGAGCAAATCCGCAGGTGCCCTGGCAGGCATCGACCGCTTATTGTCTGACAGATGTCGTGGATGATGTAACCGAGGAGCCTGGCGGCACGAAGACGGCCTCAAGAGGGTCCTCTGGAAGCACCCGACGGATGCTACAACAGGGGGGTGCGTTGTAGCATCCGTTGGGAGGCCTCTTCGGGCTCTCTGGGAGCGCTCTTTTGGCGTCTTGGGATGCACCAGGGGCTTTCGTGGGCAATCTCTGGGCCATCGTGGGTCGTCTTGGGCCTTGCGCCACATGGCTCCGGCCCCCAGGCGCAGGGCCGGGGGGCCCCGGGCCGCCTCGAAAGAACCGGAAGTCGCCCCCAACACCGGGCAGCCGCGAGGGGGCGCCAGGGCCGTTCCCAGGCCGGACACGGCCCCCAGCGAACTTCGCCACGCCCGGGCCGGCCGCTGGAGGCGCCTGGCAGGCGCAGACAACTTGCACCGTTCAAGTTACGTAAGGTCTGGCAGGTCAAGTTAAGATCTGGAAGATCAAGTGAAGATCTGGAAGATCAAGTCAACATGATCAAGTTAAGATCCAGTTCAGATCCACAACTTCCCCACGACTGCCGTATCTAGCTGTGCGCATCACAGAGTGGCACACTTCAAAAGCAACCTCACAGACTTCAGGTCGCTTCTGAGCGGCCGCCTCGGGGCGCCAGCCAGGGAAGGGGGGCCCGGCGGCCTCCGGGCCGGGCCCCGGCGCCGCTCCGCCGCGCCCACAGGGCTGCCCCTGGAGGCGCCCCGGGACTGCCCCTAGAGGCCCCTCGGGGGCCGTCTGGGGTCGGCTATACGCAACTGGCCTGTGTTGGTTTCGTGCGCGGCTTTTTTTCACCAAATGATCAAGGATGCTCCTCGATGGTCCTCGCCGAAGGAAAAATGCACACGTCCGAGCGATGCCAAGGCAAGAGTGACCCTGGGTAAGAGTGACCTTTGGTGCGCGACTTTTGGGGGGACGCGGGGGGACCAAACCTGGGCGCGCAAGCAGCTGCTACTGCCTCGTTCTCAGCCATCTGGGGGCCCATCTGTGCCCGCACCAAAGGTCACTCCGGCGAAAAGTCACTCTTACGGCTAATCGATGGGGGCGGTTGCGGGTCCTCCCGTGGCCGTTCTCCGGACCATCTCGCATAGTCTTGGGCGCCTTTTGGGCCGTCTTGGTCCGTCCAGGGGCTCTCTGGAGCCGCGCTGGGAGCATCTTCGGGGGCCTCTTGGCCCGGCCTGGGGCAATCTTGGGAGCAGGTCGGATGTGCTCGATATGTAAGAAAACCCGACAGAAAACACCCTATTGGTGCACCAGAAGCTCTGCTATGCGTACTCTTGGATCCGTAGAAAGCCTTTTGAAAAGTGTTGCGGCCGTCAGGGCTGACTCATAGGCCCTCTGAGGCCACCTGGGCGCAATCTCGGGTCATTTTGAGGCCACCGTCGGCCGTGTCGTGGGCATCTTCGGCGAACGTGGAAGCTTCGTGGATTCGTTTGGGCCGTCTTGACGGGGGCATGCCCTCCCAGCGGCCCCACCCAGGGGCTGTCACCAATAGCAACGCACCACGCACAGCTCCTGGCATTGCAAGACAAAATGAGGTTGGCCCGTGGACCCACGTCCACGACAGCTTGTGTTGAGAATGATCAGGGGCTGCCTGACCTCATACAACCCAATGGATTAAAAAGTGGTGATCGGCACTATGCGGAGGAACAACCCCTGGGTCTTCGCCAATCGATGAAACCTCGAGCTTCGACCTTCGATCGATCCCAAGATGACTCCAGGACAAGCTCGTGGTTCGAACGGAGGAAGGGCGCCGCAGGGGTGGACGAGACGCGCGGTTGCTAGGGCAGCCCAAACGAAATCGCCATTCTCTGGCGGGGTGAAAAGCGGCCGGAAAATAATCTGTGAGGAACTATCAGGCGATATCGCCACTCTCCAAAGGCATGAAGATCGACTTGAAAATCTGTTGTGCGGAAGTCCCACGCGAAATCGCCATTTGCAGATTCCATGGCAAGTTTGCAGATCGCCCTGGAAATCGATCTGTAAGCTCGTGTGCGGAATCCTCTGGCGAAATCCCATTTTCAGACGATGACCCCACTTGGCCGTTATAATATATATATATATATATATAGATTAAGGGCGAGAGATGCATCTGGAATTCCGAAATCGACCCCGACTCCAACATTGTCCCGGGCTCCCGCGGCCTAGCGGGAGGCAAACCGTTTCTTCCTCGATCCCCACCGTTTCCACATTTTTAAAATCCTACGGGTTGACCGCCGCCAGCGCGCTGAATCACTTCTCTTTTGTGTGTTTCTCCATGCTCCACAAAAACGCGCACATCCTGCGTCTATTACAACGACGCACGCTCACCGTTTCGTTCGAAATCCGGGCAGACTGCCCGCGCCGAGCGTTTTTTGTAACCTGACCACCGCTAGCGCGCTGAATCACGTTTCTTTTGTATGTTTGTCCATGCTCCACAAAAGCGTGCACGTCCTGCGTCTACTACAGCGACCCACACTCACCACTTCGTTCGAGATCCGGGCAGACTGCCCACACCGAGCATTTTCGGGGTAACCATCCCCTGGATTAAAAAGTGGTGACCGGCACCATGCAAAGGAACAACCCCTGGGTTTTCGCCAATCGATAAGACCACGAGCTTCGATCTTTGATCGATCCCAAACTGACTCCAGGATAAGCTCGTGCCTCGAACGGAGGGCGGGCGCCGCAAGGGTGGACGAGACGCGCGGTTACTGGGACAGCCCAAGCGAAATCGCCACTCTCTGGCGGCGAGAACAGCGGCCGGACAAGACTCTGTGAGGAACTATCAGGCGATATCGCCATTCTCAAGCGGCATGAAGAACGGTCTGGACATTTGTTGTGAGGAAGTCCCACGCGATGCCATGGCAAGTTTTCACATCGCCCTGGAAAACGATGTGAAAACTCTTGTGCGGAATCCTCGGGCGGAATCGCATTTTCATACGATGACCCCACTTGGCCGTTATCATATTAAAAAGGGGCGAGAGATGCATCTGGATTCCCGAATCGGCCCCAACTCCAACATTGTCTCGGGGCCCCGCGGCCTAACGGGAGGCCAACCGCTTTTTCCTCGATTCCCACCGTCTCAACTTTTTAATCCATCATGTTGTAGTAGCACAGATTCGTTCGAGGAGCTCGCCCAACGATGTACATCAACCAGGTCACGTAATATTCCAGAGGCACCGCAATCGGCCAGGTGATCAACGCGCTCGCTCGTTCAAAGATTGCCCAGTATGGCCCTCGACTTTTGTGAAAATAATACGACTGACGACCTGGTCAAAAACGTAGCGAAACCGCAAAACAAGCTGAAGGTTCGCCCGTGCTCGGATGTGCCGCTGTGTCACGCCAGCGGCATACGCATAATCACACTCGACCACAATCGATGATGAAACAGATGATGAAAACATGAATTCACGAATCCAACACAATGAAGAAACAAATGCCGATCCTTCCTCGACATTGTTGGTGTGATGTTGCGCACCGATCAATCTTTGTTGCGCAGAGTCCAATATTGTGGGGCCGCAGAAACTCAATAAGCCGGTCGAGGCTGGCATGGCCACAGCGACGCCCCAACCGGAGGCCGCCTCATGATTGGACTGCTGCGCGGAGCCGTCGCCGGAGAGCGTGATGACCTCTGGCGCCTGGAACGAACCAGGAGCGGGTTGAGGAGGAGGATGTAGCCTTCTAGGTGCTCCCCCTCCTGGGGCCTGCCCTCCAACGTGCCGCTTGTTACGCCGAAGAGGAGGAAGAACGGCGCGACACATGTCATCCGTTGGACGCGTCCGGGGCTGATCCCAGGCCAGAAGGACTGGCCTGCACTCGCGCCGGGCCACCACGGCCAGAGTGGCAATAGCGTTCACACGTAGAAGATCAGCAGAGATGGACCTCGCCTCCTCCAAGCCAGGGACCGGATCGACTCCAAGATGGGCCAGCAGAAGACCGCAGTGGGCCAGACAAGGTCGGAGACCACGAGAGAAATCGTTGCCTGGTACTCGAAATTCGAGGATACGTCGTTCAGCAGAATTGCAAGGACACTCCCACAAACGATGTGCCACTGTCTCGACTGCAGCGCCCCAACGAGCAAATAACTCATCGCAGTCGTTGAAAGGTATGTGAAAGATTTTGAGCGACGTCCACAAGCCACACGTCGTCAAGGCCAGGCCGCCGTCTACTCGCATGCAAGGGTTAGGATCGCCTGTCTGCTTGCCTGCTTTCGTGCTGTCCTGCGCGAATGGCTGCTACCCTGCTGGCCTGGCAGTTTTCTCCCCTTCCTGTTTGCATGCTGGTCACCGTGTCTGGTATCAGGCATGCCTGCTTGCTTGGCTGCTTCATCGTTTGCTTGCCCCCCTCGCTGCCGCCTGCTACTGTCTGCTGAGGCTTGGCCCTGCTTGGTGTTAGTTGCCGCTGTTAGGAGGTGTATGATTGCTGCGGTTTATTGCTGCTGCTTGTTGCTCAGTGCTGGTGTCCTTCATGTGTGCTGTCGCTACTTTATTATTGCCGCTGCTGCCTGCTAATGGAGGCCGAATATGCTTGCTGCTGATTCTGCTTGCAAGCACGCGGGTCCGACAGATTGCTTGTATGCCGGCCTGCGTGTATGCTGGCCTGCTGGCCTGATGTCTTGGGTACTTGCTTCATCCGCTTGCTCCCACTTGCTGCGGATTGCGATTGCTGTGTGGATTGGTACTACTTGCTGGTGTTTGCTGCTTCTCGCTTCTGCTACTTACCGCCAACTGTTGACTGGTAATGGCACCTGCTTGCTGCATTTTGGTGCTGCT